GGGGAGGGAGGGGAGGATGGTCGCGTTTGGACGGGAGGAGATTTTGAGAATTGTTCCTAGTTTAAGGGAGCTTAAAAGCGTCAGATTACTATTGTTAAACTGTCTAAAATGAATGCGTGGTTTGAAAACTAAATCATTTTAAACTATTTACGGGATTCAATAAAAAATGTACTTTTTTTGTTATCATTGTCAAGGCAGATTGAAGAAAGATTTGCAGAAAGCATTCTTTATTAAAATAATGTCACTTAACTACTGCCACATCGCATCATGTTAGTTAAATCAATGAATACATTCAGTGAGATATTTATTTCAAATGGCAGGCTTAATGATAGTTATCATTATCTATTTAGTTGACTTCAGGCTTCATAGAGGGGAGGAGGAACATCAAAGTCACAAAAAGTGGAGAGGGGCGAACAGATGAGCGATTCACAGATGTAAGAGGCAGACAGACACAAAGGTAGGGAAAAGGTGAAGTGAGTGCTGTGGAAGTTGTGGAATATGACATACAGTGGGGTCATGGTAGTATGAAGGGAGAAGTCAACTGCTGGTCTATAAACTTTATTTGCCGAATGAGTATATGATGCCCAGGGTGCACTACGTGGAATTAAGTCTATCGCGAACCCCCATTCATTTGGATTTCATAAGTATCACTTTCATAGCAGCGCAAGTATTGGATGCTGTTGAAAATTCCATGTTACTTTCTGGAATTTTACAACTTGAACAGTATTGCAAACAATGGAATCGATGCTATCTGCATTTGTTCACTGAAATGATGGAGCCTTGAAATTATCACTATAGTGAGCGTTGGTTTAAGGAGAGGTCAATGTGAATGCCCATCTCCGACTGTGGAAAATTTACAGCCATTTTACACTGCTTTTCTCTTTTCTTTTAATTTTGAAAGCATAAATTCTTCTCGAAGTTACTAATGAAGGCAAATTCAGAAATTGGGGTCACAAGAGGTCACAAAAGGTCACTAGAATAATGCGGGGCACTAGTTATTATCTCCACGAATATTCATTCAAATTGGATTTTCTTGAGTTTGCGTTCCGAAACTCGATGAAGAGGAATCCAATTTGATGAACGCCTCACTCAAAATTAGACCTCCGGTTGCCAAATTTCCGTTTCTCTAAATTTCATGCAAATGAGCCCTTTTGTTGTGTAGATACAGCGAGAAACGGATGGAACTGGCTTTCTTTTTTGTTGTGGACATGGGGACTATTATCTATGCGAGTTTTTGGAGGAGAGATAGCGGGCCATGATTCACAGGCCACTCAACTGACAGTCGAAACGCTTCTTCCTTCCTCCCTCCCACCCCCTCCTCTCCCCCTCCTCCCCCCCCCCTCTCATCAAGTGAAGCCAAAGCGTGACCATATTGGGACGGAAGAGAGTCATGCATCAATTCTGACAGATAAGATGGCGTCTATGTGCCAAAGATGATGGCTAGCCTATTTCAAGCGGTGATATGCAAATTTCTGTCATGCTATTTAGATTTTCACAACAGTTGGCAAATTAGTATCACACATCCAGCTATTTTATCACCATTATTGTAGATTCATGGAAGTTTGTCGAATCTCAAAATGTTTTCTCATTTTTCAACATTATATTGTTTTTTTTTTTCAATCAAAAATTGGATTACGACAATGTATAAGTTACTTTAGGGGTAAAAATATCCTCGCGGCACAGTTAGCGTGACCTTGAGTGAATGAAATTGGAGGGCGGGAAATTTGAAATCAACTCCACCTCATGGAAACTTGAGGAGATGATGAATTAGGCCGACAGTGGCAACAATTTTGCAATTTTTCCATGATTGCAAGAGATCGAGAGAGAGAGAGAGAGGGAGGGAGGGGGGGGTGTTCAAACACATGGAATGTCAAGGTTGGTTAAAGTGGAGCGTTGGGGCTCTTGTAGAATGAATAATCAAGTACACTCGTAAGTTCACTCATAATGAAGTGACAGATTGATAATTGGTTTCCTAAACTCAGACATTAGAAGGCATGGCCATTTCCACCTGAGTAGGCACAGCCTGTATAGAAGGGGAGAGGAGTGGGGTAACAAAATCGGTGCAATTGGACAGTTGTCCATGGAAGTCAACTCTTGCACTAATTCCATCTTTGCTAGTAGAGTAAGTCGTTCAACCAAGGAGTTCTAATCTTTAAGATTTATATTGATAAGAGCGAATTATAGACACTTGATCATTAATTGCATTGATCATTCCTTAGTAAATTGTAGGCAGTCATGCCTATATGAACTTAGAGTAGGTAGAAATTTTAAGCCCAAACTCAAATATCTGTTTGCAAAATGTACCATTTCTTATTGGAAGCTCTAATAAGAAAATTTATCCGGCTAAATTGAACTTGAAGCGCTTCTAGAAATGTATTAAACGAGTAGAAAATCAAGAGTTGATGTGCTTTGATGCGGCGCTGTATCAAGCATCTTTTGTTTCTGAAAGCCTTGAATTGTCCACCGTTTGTGTAGTTTACTAGCGTTTGAATTGTGTACTCATGAGTGAGTCATTGGAAGTTGGACTTCCTGAAATAGTTCATCACGTGAATTTGATATTTTGGGTGCCTCTTTGCAGGTAGTAGAAAGTGACGAGCATATTAAGAGTTATGGTAATTAAAAACACGGAATATTATAGTCCCAAAATCGGGATGTGCAATAGACTTACCTCCACGTGGTGCACCCTGGGCAGCGTACACTCATACGGCAAAAAGGTCTATCAACTGACAGTTGACTTCTGACTTCAAACTACCATCACCCAACTGTATGTCATATTCCATCACTTCCACAGTACTCATCTCACCTTTTCTCTGCCTTTATGTCTGTCTCTTTCACATCTGCCAATCACTATTCTGTTCCGCCTCTCAACTTTTTTGCTCTAATGTTCCTGTCCCGCCCCCCAGTCTCGACTTTTTTTCACTTTGATGTAATTCTGTTCCCCACCCATCGCCTTTATTCTACTTTGATGTTCCTCCCCTCTGTGAAGTCCGAAGTCAGCTAAAGGGCTAATGACAACTAACAAAACGCCTGGTATTTGACATAAAAGGTATTCACAACTTGATCTGTGTAGAGTAAGTTATTCAGGAACTACTCTTTTGGGAAACTTGCTTTCTGAAGGCACCCCCTCCTCTCACCCAATGAACATCGATTTCGTGACCTCTGACTAGGCAAGTGAGCACAATGGCCTTTGTACTATACGCCACTGCGCGTGCTTTATTTTAATATCTTCTACTGCACTTTATTTTCTATTTCACGACAATGCAGATGCTAAATCGAATTATTCAAAATTTTATTTTAACTTTGTTCAAATATTTCTACCCATGCCTCCTTCATAATTGTGGCTCAAATTACTACTCCTCTCATATGGCATGCTAATTTGCTTAGTTCAGCAATCATCAATCAATCTCTGCTTCCCTTTGCTTTAAGATTGACCTCTCTCTATCGCCTCAAAATAACTTCATCAGCTATGAAGGGGCACTTTTCAGTGCGCGTTAAAGAAAGATGCCTTTATCTCCAACCGGTCAAGGAAATACTCGCCTTCTTCTACCTTCAGTGGTGGGCAATTTGTAAAAATAAGGCGTTCACATTACTGGCAACCGCCAATGACGGCCAAAAGGGTAGTCATCACCGATGGAGTCTGGGGGAATTTCCGTACTTGGCACGACTCCGCATCCTCCTCCTCCTTTTTTCCCGAAATCGTCAAGTCTCCTCGTGTGTCGGCGACATGACAGTTGGGTCGGTCGGAGAGAAGTGTGTGTCAGTGATGTGTTCTTGGCAGTGGAGCGAAGCACGCTCGCGTCCCCTTTCCATTAATCGTGTTTTGTCTCACTTTGGCCCATAAAGTTTGGAGTTGGCACTGAGGGAAGACGACAGAAATCACCATACCTTGCGCCCACTTCTTCTCACCAAACGGACAGCAGAAATGGTCTCATTTTGTTTTTTTTTTGAGTGATAAACTATAATTTAACCCATGGGCAACATATCCTTTTATGAAATTACTGATAATGCCTAATTCAGCACGCTCTTGCAAGGACTATGCTCATAAGTATGAAGGTCTACATCCATTTATTTCCCATATTTGTTCAACTAAAACAATTTACAGGATTTTCGGGGTGGTGGGGGGGGGGGGGGGGGGGGGGCATTCAATTGTCAAATACTTTAATACCACACCTCGAATAACCTAGCACCAGTTTCCCTCCTTACCCAGAGATTCAGCAGTGATATGGAAGTAACTAATCTCAAGCAAAGCCCTATTGAAACAAAATCTTTTGAAGTGAGAAAGAATATATTTTAAACGACAAGCTATTTAGAGGGTGTGCAGCGGACTCATATGAGCTATAAAAAGGGAACAAATATTACGAGATAGCTGGCTCGCTCAAGTTAATCAAACATGAACATCATATGCGTTGAAGGATGACTCTCTCGTGGCCTTCCAGACTACTTCCTTCTTGAAAATACATTAGAACTTCCTCTACGAAGCTGTAGTGACACATTCATTTCTCTTTAACTCAAAACCCCATTCCGAAGCTCCTTTTTTCGGTGACTATCTCCTTCCATTTGAACTCGCTTCTGAACTCATATCCTAACACCCACACTTACCGTAATGACTCATCTAAAAGGGTTTTGTTCCCCCACACATGCTCACACACACACACACATTACATGCAACCTTACCATTTACTTCCGCGTACGTTTCCACCTCACCTCCTCTATCCCTCACCTCCCAATTACTCTCGAACCGACAAGTTGACGTAAACAGTCCTTTGAGCTCTACTTTTTAGCTGCCGATAGCTACCAGCTACGGTCTTTCTTCCCACGATCCGGTTCTGGTTCAGTAGTTCCCACAATTCGTTGACCCTGTGAGAATTCACCCTTCTGCAAAGTTCCTGCAAGGAAAAAAAGTTATTGAAATTCTCGGAGTCGGATTTCGCAGTTCAAACTTTGAAATGTTATTGAAAATACCACGTATTATAATAACTATTTATTTATTTATATCAAATGGCAGGGATTTTGATAGTTATCAGTAGCCCTTTAGTTGACTTCGGGCTTCACAGAGGGGAGGAGACACATCAAAGTGAGAAGAATTCAGGAGGGGGAATAGAAGAGTAATTCACGGATGTAAAAGAAACAGACAGACACAAAGGCTCAGAAAGGGTATGATGAGTACTGTGATAGGAGTGGAATATGACATACAGTGGGGGTGATGGTTGTTTGAAGTGTGAAGTCAACTGCCGGTTAATAGACTATTTTGCCGTAAGAGTATACGTTGCCCAGGGTGTACCACGAGGAGGTAAGTCTATCCCACACCCCACTACAATAATAATGAAATTAGGCATATTTCGGAACTCTGCAATCGGACGAATTCGCTCTACTTCTCGTCAATTCCTCGTCGTTCTCATTTTCTTGACAGGATTATATTGTGCTCCATAATCAGGCCCAATTCGACTAACGTTTCATGAGAGCACTTCAAAGTTGGATCAGAATGTGGCCTTGTCAACGCTCCTTAAACCCCGGTCTCTTGCTGATCTCCCTAGTTCATAGTCATCGCTTTCTTAGAGCCAACTTTAAAACGCCCTCTCACATCACAAAACGAGCACAAAGTCTTCTGTAAACCACTTTTGTTCACATTTTATTTATGTAACGCCTATCTCTCATTAGAAATATTTGTACCTGGTTTTAAAAATAAAAAAATTGCTCCTAGTTAAACATGATCAAATAAATTAAGCTAGCTAGGACTTCATCGGCTCTTTTTTAAACCATGATGTTTGATGTGTGCTTAGGGCAAAATTTCCACAAAGGGAATAGAGAGCCTTTCTCGCATCTTTGCTTACAACGTTCGCCACTTGGAAAGGAAGTTATCAAGGTCAAATTTCATTTCTGCCTTTGCGCTCCTCGCAACTTATGATCAGTAATTTGTCTATTGAGGAATGTTACATTGTCTCTAATAGTGATCTTTTAAATGATCAAATCTACTAATTGTATTGATTAACCCATATGACCTAAGCTAATTTTATTGGTCATTATTAAAGGTGGGATACTTGTAAACAATTTTGAGTCTGAACAACATACCAATATGAGAATGATAAGTTATTAGACATATTAGCCTCGAGGAGGCTAGAACTTGGCTACTTCTGAGCACCTGAAAATCTTAAACGTGTCCAATATTTAGTGGAGGAGGTGATGAATTTCAAAGTGAGGTTAACATTCGTGGGAGAAAAAGAAGTTTAACTTAACTCATTATTTTATTCAGATTTGCTCCTTTACTTCATGATTGCAGTTCACAGCTTCTTGTTTAAGTGTTCAAAGTGTTCTGGCATACCCCCCTATCTCCATATTCCAGTAGAATATTACGCGACTGAGTAATTGAAGTGTAAGAAAACTCATCAAGGATTGCGCAATGATAAACAAATATAATTCTAATACTTTCTCCCAAAAAATTCTCTCAACGAATTCTAAGTGCACCTTTTTTTGCTTTAATTCCCTAAGCAATTTCGTCTTATTGCTATTTCCCCCTGTAGGTCTTTTTTTATATGACCTTGAGACATTAATCATGCTTTCAGCGCTTGAATTGGTGCATTTTATAACATGAAGGGAACAGCAGCAGCAGCAGCAGCGGTAGGAGTAGTAGAAGTGGATGGAGCACATTTACGCTTCACCACTCCTCTGAAGGCCAAGACCGAATGGCTTTTGGATGACCTTGAAATAGATATGTTTATACCTTTCCTATAGAGCCTATTTTTCTCAAGATTTGGGAATGATACACTAACCATCTGTTCCGATCACCTCAACGAAATGCAAACAAACAAATATCGGGGAGAACCCCCACCCCCCTCCCCACTCCTCAGCATGAAAGCGGATCGCTCTGAAATGGATATTGTGCATGTATCAGAATATTCAGTTAGTGTTTGAAAGTTATCTTAATATTATACAGAATATTTGAAAATAAAATTATATGGGTATAATGCCCATATTAGGAACATTTTCCCTTTGAAAGTTGGCTCAGACATGTTCGTCTTACTAAATTAATTTCTTAAACTGCCTATGTCCTGGAAAGTTGACTGCCAATCACCACCTGACCAACCCCCAACCCTCCTCCGCCACCCCCCCC